ACACACAAAAAGGCTGAGGACTAAGAGGATTGTGTAAAGGGAAGGCTCCCAGTTAGACTGCAAACTTTAGCAAATAGTAAAAAGAGTGAATAAATTAAGCCCTCTAAACTAAAGCGTAGCATGAGGAATCACTGTCAATAGTGACAAAATTTGCTCTAATAAAACAGAGTGTCAAAGTTATTTGTCTCTCAAACGTTTGTCTGGTAGTGGACTCTCTTTCAGTCCGGGCTTGTTGTAGGACTAGAGCTCTCAAAGCACGAGGCATACAGGTTGTCTTCATGGGTGGAGATCTGTTCGCTGCTTCTACGGTTGGTGTCTTCGGTATGTCAATGGGCTCTGTGTCACCTACTGGACTGTCAGTGGGGGTGTCATCCGGCGGTTGGGAACTATCATCAGGTGGAGGTCTAGGCTGTTCCGGGCATGTGGGTATGTTCTTTGTCCCCATGACTTTAGGTGAGGGTAATGTGGCCAATGGGGATCTGGGAATCACTGGTACGTATCGACGCAGGAATTTCCTGTTGCGCAATGTTACTCTGCCTGATCCGTCTACTCTTACCACGTACTGGTCAAATTGACGAACTTCGATGACGAGTCCGGTTTTGTCCCACTTGGTTGGGTGGGCCCAGTTTGGTTTTGTATACGAACACAGTCTCCGACCGCTAGAGGGGGTAAAACACTGGTGTGAGCCGACAGTCTTTCTGCAATTCGCATATGGCGTTTCCTGAGAGCCTCTTCTCTGTTGGATAAGGTTTCTTGCCATGTCTTGTGGGGCAAGTACTTCCCGGGATGGATTGGTATGAAATCACGGATCGGTCGCCCAAAGATGCATATTGCAGGGGACAACCGTGTGTCTTTGTCAGGTGTGTTGTGATACTGAAGAATGGCACGTTGAAACGAGTAAGTATCGAGGCAGCCATCGCGACCGGTGTTATCCATAATCATCCTTTTTATGGTTTTCACGCCTATCTCAGTCCTGCTGTTGCTGTGGGGAAATGCGACGGATGAAAGGCGGCGGTGAACTCCCCAGTTACGTAAGAATGTTGATGTGGCTGTAGACAGAAACTCTGGGCCACCATCAGATGAGAGTTCATCGCTGATACCGAATGTCGTGAATGTGCGCCTGAGGCTGGATATGAGGCCTTTCGATCCACCATATGCCCTTTCCACGATGGGCCAGTTCCTGTACCTGTCCACGATCACCAAGTAGCTGTGTCTGGCATAGTGGAAGAAGTCAGCACATATGCACTGAAAAGGGTATTGCGGTTGTATAGGTGGGGTGGGTGGAGCGCTTGGTTGTGACGGGGCTATACAGTTGCAGGGAGAGCAACGCATACGCATTTCACTGATTGACGAGGTCATACCCGGCCAGAAGAATGAGGCATCGGCCCGAGAGCACATCTGGGAGATACCTTGATGGGCGGAGTGGAGCGCTAGGAGAACGTTGTTGCGCAGGTTGGGAGGTATTATTATGCGGTCACTGTATAGAACCACGCCATCAAAGCTGGTTAGTTTGTCTCTGTATTGGTAATATTGTTTAAGTTCAGTTGCCAGGTCGTCCTTTGCCTCGGGAAATCCATTTTCAATCAAATCAATGAGTTTGACCACCGAGTTGTCACTGTTGGCGGCCACACGGATATCATTCCAGGTGATAGAACTGATCCCTCATGGAGAGTCTTCTTCACTAGAACACAGCGTAGGGATATCTGGTTGTGCTCTGATAGGCATAAGGAAGTTATGAGGCATGGTCAGAAGGTTGGGGTTGTCAATAGAGACTGGGGTTGCATCGTCAGATAGGGTAAGGTGAGTAGCAGGTCCAACTGGGTGTCGTGAGATCGCATCTACAGAGAGACATGCCGGATTCCTGGAATGTGGGCAATATTGAATCTGTATTTTAATGTTTTCTCTTTCAGATTCCTCATTCGTGGGTTGGGGTGGCTTCTAAGCTTCTGTCACCGAACACTTTAAGTAGGGGTTTGTGGTCGACGAGTTTTTTTCTAGGGCATCCACTACGGCCAGTGCTTCTCCTTCAATGGGGGCATATCTTGATTCAGCCGAGTGTGACTGTCCAGCCTAAGCGGCAGCAGAATGGCTTCCTCCAGGTGCATTTGCAGTGCTTTTGGAGAAGCCAGAAGCCGATACCGTCCTTGCTGAAATCCGTTGCGAGGCATGCTGGTCTTCTTTTGTCAAATATTTCTACCCCTCTTTGTATGTCCTGAAGTGTGATGGCCTTGGTTTCTTCAAAGAGGTTGTCCATATATCCATTCCATTTGAAGGGTGTGTTTGGTTTTAAGAGGTTGCGAAAGGGTTGCATTCTGTCCACTGAGGCAAAAGCATAGGCTACTTGGTTTACCAAACCAAACCAGCTTCTAACGTCAGTGATGTTGCGAGGCTTGGGGAACCCCTTGATCGCCTCAAGAACCTGTGGGCATGGACGGACAGCTGTGGGGGAGATTTCAAAGCATGAGAAGTTGACAGTGTCTTTTGCAAATGCGAATTTTGATTGATTGAGGATAATACCATTGCAGCCACATGTGTCCAACCACTTTTGCCCCCTGGAAAAAGCTTTCCTGGATGGACGGAGACCTTATAGTTGTGTCATCAATGACTTTTGTTTTGTTGTCAATGTCGCTAACGATTTCATCAAAACGTCTGGTGTAGGCGTCACCGGAAGCTATTTATCCCTGAGGGCAGACACAATACCTATACCGACCCCAAGGTGTGATGAACGTTGTCAGGTGTTTGTCTCTGGGGTCCAGTGCAATGCTGTGGTAACCATTCCAGGCATCAAATATGGTCTTTCGAGTATTTGCGGGGACCGTGCGGGCTTGATGAAACAGAGACTGGGTATGGTGTGTTTCTCTCGTAGCATGGCGATTCAAGGCTTGAAAGTCCACGGTCCGTCGAGGTTTGACAGATTTCTTGGCACCTACGACCATCCGGTGACACCAGGAAACTGCGTTCCGATTGGAACTGGTTCAATAACGCCGAGCTGAACATCCTGATCAAGGCCAGCTTTCACCTGTTCTTGCCAGTGGACAGGTACAGGGATAGGTGTGTGGTGTGCTACAGGTGTGGCATTGTCCTCAATGATGAGTCTCATAGGGGGGCCTGACATCATGGGCAGCTTTTGGTGCTCACATATGTTGAATGTGCTACTTCTGTAGTAGTCTAACAGCCATTGCTCTAGTTTTCCTCTGTTTTCCTCGGTGGCTGGAAAGGGGAGGGAAGTGGGGAGACTGTGTGGGGTTTGACGAGGAGAACAGTTACAGCCGTCTTCATCAAGGCCATTGTCAGCGTCGCTGTGTAGCGCAGATGAATCTGTCATGGCTGGTTCAATGGAAAGGAATGTATGGAGTATAATGCCTATGGTTCTACTGGCCTCCATGGATAAGAAAAATTTGTCAGTCGAATGTTAAAAGTATACAATATGGCGTGTTGTTTTCGGCTGAATAGATTGTGTCGGGCCAGTGGTGCGTAGGATTAGAGCACCCTCGATTCTAATTGCATTCTGGTTTGCGTCCTTCATTTTCATTGAGGTAGGGAGGAGCTGGGATGTGTTCAAATCTAGTTGACTCAGGAAGGAAGTACCAGCAAGGCATGACTGGCAACCTGTGTCTGCTACTGCCAGTACAGTGGTGGTTCTAGTAGAGTTACACAGAGTGGGTTCAATTCCTAAAGCTTTGGCGTCTGATGGAAGGGCCTGAATCTCCACATTGATGGTCGGTTGGGGTGCATATGCGCGTTATTCCCACATGTCACTCAGGGAATCGAAAACAAGGTGGTCTAGTGTTACAGTGCCGACCAATTGTTCATTATCAGTTTCAGTATGGCAAAGGCTCCCAAACACTGCAGTAGCAGAGTTGTTTTGACTGGTATGAGGCCTCTGCCTGGGTTTACGGCATACACTTTCGAAGTGGTGTTGGAGGTTGCAGTTAGTACAGGTGTGATTAAAGGCAGGGCAATGATTCATACGTTGTTGCATCCCACTGCCATGTCCTGCCTTGCCGCAGTGGCCGCATGGCTGTGTTTGATTACTTGATCTTCTATCTGGAGGTCGCCCCTGAAGTCGTCTTCTCTCCATCTGCCTGTATGTACTGCATGCTGCATCAATTGCCACAGGCACGCGTATAGTTAGGGTTTATTCGTCCGGCGGAACGTTTTCCGCTTTCTTTGGCCTCAATAAAGCGGATGGTCTCATCGAGGGACATCTCTTGGTTGGCCTGGCAAAGAACGTCGAGGCGGATATCATCATCTGCAAGACCAATGATGAGGGTGTCCCTGACCATCTGATCACTGTACGACGGCTGGGCTCCACACTCGCACGAGATGTTGTACTGACACACACTCGCTTGGCTATTGAGTCGTGCAGAAAAAGTTCTTGCGGGTTCATCTCTGTCCTGTCGCATTTGTTGGAGTTGTAGTCTAGCCACCATGACATTTTCTTGACGGACGGCCACCGATTTTATGTGGCCAAGGAAAGTGGCCTCGTCATATGATGTGAGGTTTTTGAAACTCCTGGTTAGGTCCTTGCGGAGGGCCTCATCGCACCACTCAAGGAGTTGGAAGACGACGTCCCCACCAGTGAGTCGTGTGGCTTGCTTATATTCTGACCAACGCTGAGCAAAATATGTCCACTCTTCGCTCGTCCCAGATGCAGAGACGACTGGGCGCTTCACCTTCTCCGCTTTGACCCCCGTGGCCATGGGCACTGTCGTAGGGGCGGTGGCTGGGTGAGCGGTCCTCTCGTGCATGTCGAGGAGTTTCAGGAGAATTTCCGGGGCTTTATCTATCTATCTATCTATCTATCTATTTATCTATCTATCTATCTATCTATCTATCTATCTATCTATCTATCTATCTATCTATCTCAAATGCGCCATTATATCTCTGTCGTAAGGATGACATCCTTTCTCTCTATTGCCGTTGAAAAATAGGACAAAAGAAAAGGAAAAAGGTAAAGAATACAACTTCTTTTTGTTTTGAATCAGGTATGGCTGACAATGCCGGACTTCTTGCTGACCAGGAGTCACATGTTCGACACCCAGGCTGTTGAGATCGTGCCCTACTCCAGTGGCTGGGACGCTGAGGAGGTCATCATGGGGCCACTGCGGAACGGTTATTGGGAGGGCCAGACGCAGGATCTGAGAGCGATGATACGAGACTTTCTCAACTTTACTGAGTCCATGTTGGAGAATGATCAACTGTTAGAGGACGCCAGGTGGGCTAGGAGTGTGCAGGGTTCAGAAGTTGTTATGTTTGGGTTTTTTTGGTCGTAGTTTATTTTTTTGGGGGTTTTTTTGTGTGTGATTGTTCTGTTCGTTTGTTTGTTTGTTTGTTTGTTTTTGGTTGTTGTTGTTTTGTTTTGGGGGGTCGGGGGGGGTTCTTCTTTTTCTTTTCCTTTTCCATAACAATTTCTCTTCCTCTGTTTCTTCTCCTTTCTCCTTTTCCTCCGCCTCCTTCTCCTCCTCTTTTTCCATCTAATCTGCAATTTCCAACAACCAGCATAATTAGCTTCCATTTCCTACTCGTCTTCCTCCTCATCGTCTTCCTCCTTGTCTTCCTCCTTCTCTCCCTTCTCCTAAACCACTACGGCCACCATTAGCTTCAGTATTTTATTTTTATCGAACAAAAGTTATCCACCAAATTATGCAAATGTGTTTACACTTGAACTTAAATCCCTCCCTCTTCTCCATGGCTATGTATTCCTGGCCATCAGAATACACGTACCTAAGTGAATGCTCACTATCGCTCGTTGCAGATAGAAACAATTGAGCATCTGATCAGAGCGGTTGCACAAGCGAAAAATAAATGTATGCCAGTTAATTATGAGCAAACAAATATACACAAAATACATTTTAAAACAATGTACAATCAAGATGCATGCGCCATTTACAATGCCTTGAAATAAAAGGTCTGGATTCTCATATTTCCTCAAGAAGGAAAGAGGGCAAACTTACTTTCCTGAAAGTCCCGATAAAGATTTTATACTGCTGCAGTTCCCTTCAATATAAGTAACCCCCTCTTTCTCCTTCACTTTTCCCCTATGTCTAACTACCTACAACACATCCCAAAGACACATTATGAAAATAATTATCCTCTCGTAATTAACAGATATCTGTATTTTGGAGGCTTTAGTCTATGCCCCCCATCCTCCCGCCCCCCTCCCCCCCCTAAAAAAAAATGTGTTTGTGGAATTCACATATCTATCTATAACGAGTCAAGCAAAAAATGAGGTAGAAAACAGTTACAAACGCAAATATCAATAACTATAATAACTACAGGAACCATAATAACAACAACAACAGCAACAACAACAACAACAACAACAACAACAACAATTACTGCTAGAACAGTAGCAGCAAAAAAGTACTAGAAAGAAGAATGACAAGAATAACGGTAGCATTAAATACAAAATTAGCAAATAGTCCTTTTTAGACACATTTTATAAATGATAAGTCTCGATTGTTCTGTTCCTCACAGGAATCTCAAAGCAGATCTCATCATCATAGACAATGTTCCGTTTATGCGCATGCTGGCTGTTCTAGCCTACAGACTGAACACATCGTTTGCCTACGCCGGATCAGCATTCACTCCATCTCTCGCCCGCCTCCCTATCAGCGCGGCTGCCTATCCTGTACCGGTCTCCACCTTCACAGATCGAATGACGTTTCCTCAGCGGTTGATCAGCTATCTTCTCTCGATACCTTCTCGTTTCTTGTACAACTTCCATCACAAAGACGCCGTTGCTAGATACGCACCGGAAATGCCTTATCTGGACATTCACGAACTGGAGCTGAAAGCGGAAGTGACCCTGGTGGAGCAGGATCATATCCTGGACTACCCTCAGCCCACATTGCCTAACGTGATTCGTTTAGGAGGAACGGCTATTTGTAAGGCCAAAGAACTCAAAGAGCCGTATAAATCTTTCGTTGAGTCCTCAGACCAAGACATAGTTGTGGTGTCCTTTGGCAGTTATGTCCTAAATATCCCAGAGGAAATTTCTACCAAGATGATGAACGCTTTCTTACGTCTCAAACTCAAGATTGTGTGGAGAGTAAACGTGACGTCTGCTGATCCCCAACAAGTGATGACGTCATTGTGGATCCCTCAGAACGACTTGCTGGGTCACGCCAAGGTCAAAGTGTTTGTGAGCCATTGCGGGAAGAACGGCCAATATGAGTCACTGTATCACGCCGTCCCCATGCTGTGTCTGCCTCTGTTTACCGACCAACCTTACAATGCCGAGAGAGCCAGGTCTGTAAATACACATGTAAAATGTTTTGACTTCTGTTACGAAATTATATAAAAGTAGAAATAGACCTTCCACACAAACATGTGATAGTACTTTAAACGACTTACCCTCTTACACTTATCCTATATGATGATTACATACTCATAGTACCAAACTAACTACCTTCCTTTCCAGGGAACACAGGCCACTGTGGTGTAGGGGTCAGGCATTTCGCACACAGAAGACCCGAGTTCGATTCCCGAGTGGAGCGAATTTTTATCAAGTGGCGTCCGTGGCCTAGTGGTTAGGCTACAGGACTCGTAATCGTGAGGTTGTGGGTTCGGGGGTTCGAGCCGTGGTCCCGACGCTGTGTCCCTGGGAAAGGCACTTTACACGAATTTTCCTCACTTCACCCAGGTGGGAATGGGTACCCAGCAAAAGACAGAGAAAGATTTTGTCAACATGTTAGTGTTTTAGCGTCCACTAATGGAAGCTTGCACTGTATGCTTCCCAGGAGGTTGAGTTTGCTTCAGAATTTTCTCAGGTCTGCAGGGGTAATAGTAAAGATTGCGCTATACACATGATATCTGTTATTATTATTATTATTATTATTATTATTATTATTATTATTATTATTATTATTATTATTATTATTGTTATTATTGTTATTATTATTATTATTATTATTACCTCAGTCTTTCTGCTGGGATATATCCCTCTCAGCCCTAGTTGGCCCTGACACGCAGGGTGGGAAGCCTTACTCCTAAATTATCTAAATTGTGTCGATTTGGGGGGGGGGATAAAAACGCCTACATTAAACAAAAAAACCAAACGCTTACATATAAACAAACACAATTCCCAGAAACACATTAAGATACACACATACACATTTACTGATATACAATTGCAGATGCTGTGTAAATAGGTTGCGATCTTGATCTTTCGCGTTGAAATTTGAAGTTCAAATTTAACTGAGATCTGAATATGATTATACTTCTCAGCCTCTCTGGAATATTTCTTAAGACTTACTGAAATACAACTGTGGACCAGATTGCATTCTTCTAAATGAACTACGCTGTATACAATAAGGTGTTAGACTTAAACATAGACAACAAAACAGCAGCAACAACAACAACAACATCAATAATGGAAACAACTACAAAAACAACAACAACAACAACAACACAGTATCGGTCACTACTCTGGGCTGCAGGCCTACAAAAATAGAATAGACCTAATCTGTCCATTGTGCAGCGAGGAGCCCCAAGATTTGGAGCACTGGCTGCAGAGATGCCCCGCCACGGAGGTCCGGCGGTGGCATCTCTTTGGGGAGGATCCATGGAGGTTGGACTGCCTCACCCGCTACCCAAGAGAGGCAGTGGCCCTGGCGAAGAGCACGCTCTTCGGGGCTCCAAACATTTCGAACGAATAGGCTATCACACAAACACACACACAACAGCAACAACAACACCAACAATAATAATAACACTAACAACAACTACAACAACAGCAGCAACAGCAACAACAACAACAACAACAACAACAACAACAACAACAAGAGCAACAACAACAACAGTAACAACAACAGTAACAACAACAACAATATCAGAACAACAACAGCAGCAAAAAAGCATTCTTCTTAGAGGCAACACTTTCCTGATCATGTCTTTTCTCTTGTTACTTCTCTTTCTGCATTCCAAGGTACAGAGGCTTTGGCTTGACAGCTGATGTCAAAACCATCTCGGAAGACGATCTACTTGCGCTAATCAACGAACTGTTGGACAACGCAACCTACTCCAAAAACATCCAGAGGGCGTCCCAAATTTTCAAAGACATTTACGGACTTCCCGTGGAACGGGCAGCTTTCTGGTTGGATCATGTGATCAAATATGGCGGCAGTCACATGCGCTATGCAGGGCAGGACATGCCAGGCTATCAGTTTTACGATCTGGATGTTTTGGGAGTTTTGATTTTGAGCGCTGTATTTTTTATTTCATTTTGTGGCTGGTTCCTATATTGTTGCCTCCAGGTTCTAGTGCGACGACTGACAGGGAATCGGGAAAACCCAAAACTAGAATGACTGCAGTACAGGAAACAAGGAAACCGAAGCGTTGGATTTGATTTTGTTTGGGGTTTTTGTGTCGATTTTATGTGGATTTTTTGTGCCCTACAAAGACACAGATCGGTCATTTTTTTATTTTTCATAGTGAAATTGAGAGACTTTATTTTTTTGCCAGACCAGACCCTCTTCCGACGGACGGATAAAAGAAGGAAGCTGAACAAATGGCACTGCAGTAAATACATAGATACTATGCCTGTCAAATTTCAAGATTGTAAATCATGTGAGAATGGCAGCTGTCTCGGGGTTGATTGGCGCAAGGACAAAACGATTTCTTACCTTTGTCTTCTTCAACAGCCATCCAAATCGAAATTAAACCATATCATTTCGATGTCGTTTCGAAGTCTTTCTGTTATATATAAAACTTCTTTTTGCTTTCTTCCATTTTTTAAACTCGTGTTTCTCTTTATCGGTCATACTCTTTCGGAACACTTGAATGACTGTTTCCATGTCAACGAATTTCTTTTTGCTAAAGATCAAATAAGACTTACTTCTTTTTATGTAGTTCTAGGATCAGCCCAGATTATGTAAATGTGTGTGTGTATGTGTGTGTGTGTGTTTGTGTGTGTGTGTGTGTGTGTGTGT